TATACTTTAAGTATATTTAATTTTTGTGATGATAAAAGAACTTTTCTCCCCCCCCCTATAATTAGAGCTTATTGGGCCGGTGCTTTTTAGTTTTTGTAATAAATTATAATTCTAGTTGGAGCGCACCGGAGCCCTAAATAAGAAGGCTGCAGCACTTCTTTTACGTAATTGAATAACAATTTCAGTGGAAATTTTATCTCGAAAATTTTATTTTTAGCAATAACATTATATTAAAAATGGCTTATTAAATTTTAATCTATCTCTTTACATTTAATTTAATCTTAATTATGTAATTACTTTTTAATTATTTCAATAAATAATAATTAATTAATTATCTAATAATAATCAATTAATAATTAATTATCTAATAATTACCAATAAATTTATTTAATTATATAATAAGTATTGATTAAATAACAATTAATAAACATTAATTAAGTAACTATTAATTAATTTGATCATAACTAACTATTTAATTTTAAAATTATTATTGAGTTTAATAGTCATTTTATTCATTTATTTACTTTCTTTGCTGACTGTCTTCCATAGGGCTCCGCCACTTCTAATCTTAGAAATTAAGCCCTGAGTCAGACTGAATGTTAGCAAGAGATAGATGTTGACGTAGAGAAAAAGGAAATAACTAAATATAAACTTGTAAAAGAACAAGACATTACAAGTATTAATGATAGTCTTAGTCCACTGACTTTATAGGGGGTTACTGTGTGCATTCAGTGATAAAAAAATTAAATTATACATATTCTAAAGATTATTTATCATTATCAAAAGAATTTGATGATAAAGAAGCACGGGAGCTGATAAAAAATTTAGACTGTGGAGGGTTGAAGTATCTGTGTGATGAAGTTATCACTATAATAACTACAATTGTTATATCCAAGCTAATATCTTTTAAAAACGAACCTCTTTTTTTTTTTTTTTAGTCCAAAGGGATTTGAATCCCGAAGGACTATTAGTTTCGTTTTGGCATTTTGCGTCGGACTCATAAATGTCGGTTCACTTTTCAAACTGTTGCCACAAAATGTTAGAGTCCTGCATTATATTTGAAGAAATTAAATTAATAATGAAAATCTGCATAAATGTATGTATATTTCTCGTATTGTGATAAAACAACGGTACATAGAGTCATCGAATTTTGAATAACGTAATCCTCCAACGAATATGAGCCATGTGGAAGACCAAATTTGAAATTTGAAATTTGTTTTATGATCGATTTCCTATTTTTTAAAACTTTGACGAATTTTTGATTATCAAACTCAAGGATTTCAAAGCGAGCAATGGCAACGTTGTGCAGAAAAAACATTTTTTTATCTCCAGCGCGTGAGTCTCTGTATCGGAAATTCTAAAGATATGCTCGTTTTAAAAAACTATTTTGCGATATGCTGTTTGCACTGGATCTTATGGTTTAAGTGCGAGGAACATGATATTTAATAAAGAAAGGTAACACACAAAATGTTAAAAAACGCCCCTTTGGACGTAATTTAAAATCTGAAACATTTCAGATTTTTTTTTTTTTTTAATGTAAAAGCCATTGGACTATTGCAACCCAGTTTACAATAGAGCGATTATATGTAGCGATAAAAAGTATTTGCCATTTGAGACATATGAAAATGAATACTCGTCCAACAGACTTCTTAAACTTCTTGTGCATGTGCCACAAACATATTCCTTAAGAATTGCTGTAAAAAATAAATTACTCATTGTCCAAATAAGGTGGAAGAAAAGAAAAATTCAAACTGTTAATGATGAAAAAAAGATTACTTTAAATTTTCTTTTGAGAAACTTCATTTTTATTCGTGGCATAAAAATTTAATTGTATAGATACAACGTCAATTAGAGCACAAAACTTTACTGAAAATTTTTTATTTAACGTTAATTTATACGAAGAATCTACAATTTGAATGCAATAAAAATAAGCACATTTTGAGAATGTTATTAAAAAACTTGGTAAAATGACAGCAGAGGAAAATTTATTAAAAAAATTGTAGATTTCATTACGGAAGGGATGGAATGTTAATGCAAGAGACTTCCTGTATTCTATTATGTTACAGCACTTTTCCTGACTTAATTAGGCTCTACTACGTACACTCTGGTAATGAGGATTGAAAACCTTGGCTAACACCCTGCTATTTACAAAAAAATAACAAAGAGTTCCAATACAACTTGTGAATTTGTGTGTATATAGAATTAGTTTCTTTAATGGAAACATTTTTGCTCATAAATCTGCTCTGATAAAATTTTTAAAAATATTTCAATACTGTATATATTCTGTATATTTTCCATACTGTGTATTTCTGCATATTTTTATGCAGTTAATTTATTTGATTTGAATATTGTCAGTACGGAAGGAGATTCTAACTTTTCATTATTGCTACTTACTTTAAAGCGTTATTTTAACTGTAACTTTACAGTGTAAGAGCAGACAAAAATTAAAAATATATAACGTATTTTTGTGCATATGACTATGTTTCCAATATTATATCCGCGAATGAATTGAAAATATATTGTTTCATCTCTCTCTATATATAAAGTTGCGTGCATAAGGGTTCGCAATACATTGAATGCACAAGTTTGATGAAAAGTTAATAAAACTTATTTCTTATCTCAAGAAATAAAACAAAATGCTGAAATTATACCTCAGAGATATTCGTACAATATCACGCAGTAGTTATACTTTAAACTACAATAAAATTAAATAGAACAGAATTCAAAGCTCAGAGAAAACTAATCCGTTCAACAAAATTAACCGTAAATGTAAACAACTGAACTGAGATCTCCGGCTTTTATAAACTTTTTAATCAGTTACGAGAAGCTTCTGGTAATTTCTATTTCTCGAGTTATAGCAAAGCAAAAGCAATTACGAGATAGTATATATTTATTAAATGCGTATGTTCCTGTATTTTTACTTTTTCGGCGTAGCTTTCTCTTAAAACTCGTCACGCGCTGCATTGCACGGGGAAATTAAATAATTTTAATTACAAATCTACTAAAATAGCAAACTAAATGCAAAAACCGTAAGAATATATATAAAGTAAAAGAAAGAAAAATAATATGTAGTATATACATCATTAGGAGAAACGAAACCATCCTATTAGTAAAGCTTTAAAAATACACATACTTTCAGGAAGGTAGTGGGCGACGGCGATTGTCAAATTGTGACGTCACGGCTGTGACATCACAACCAGCCGATAGTGCGATTTACCGCCAATTATGGATGACCACTTCCTTTACAGTTCCGCAGCAAGGAGGTTAGAATAGGCCTTTCTAACCTTTTTGTTCCGCAGTAACGATTGGCGATTGTCGTCCGCATATTCACAAAGCCTACAGACCGTTTCTTCTACTGTTTGCTCCTATTGGTTATAATAGGAAAGGTAGGATTACAGAATCATGTTCTTAGCAGATTTTGTTTCATCACCTTTACTATTTGCATATAAGTGTGGTGTACCGAAAAGTGTGCGAAAGCCAACAGAGAACCCGCAGCTCAGCGGCAACGAGCACGGAAGAAATTCTCGGATTTGTAGATCGCCGGTTCTGTCCCCGCTCGTGACTTTTACAAACTTTGCCCTGCATGGATTAATTTTTATCCTCACTTTATTGAATGGCTTTGTCATTATTGGTCTTTTCGCCTTCGGATGCCATGTTAAAAATTTAACACTTTTATTTTCTCTATTCTCTATTTTTGTTAATACTAATTTTTATTCACTGGTTTGTACTTTTTGTGGTAGTTACCAGTAGCAAGATTACGATCCAATATCCCGAAAAGCGTTTCGATAGAAATAGCGCATAATGGAAGAAAATATAATTTTAGTTATACTTACTCATAATTTAGGTAAAAGAATAGGTATCCGACGCACTTAAATGTTTATTGAATGTTTTCATTTGGTTTATTTTTCAATATTCCTTTATTTGTATAAATTAATGCGCTATGGAAATTTACATAACAGACTCCTTTCTAACAGAAATGATGAAAAAGTACATATGCCATTTCCATTTGAACACTTTTTCTTGCAAAACAATTATCGTACTTTTAACCGTTTAAATTCAAATACAAATAAACTATTAATAACATCAGTAGGTTATTTAAAATATATTCCACACAATTTCAGTTAGCTTTCATTCACAAAATAAAAAAATATTGAATGAAATAAATGCTCTTTCTTCTTGCTATACTGAAAGCCCCACAAGGTTTGTTTGGCGTTAATTACCATGCCTACAAAGCGATAACTCGCCATTCCAAATATGACCGACAAGCAGATGTTTCATCCAATGAGAGCAGACCGTAGAGGAGATGGTCTGTAGGATTTTGTGAATAAGCTTGTCGTCCATTTCTACTAAAATATTTCACCAAAAATTGAGAGTGTGCGAATTATCGTGTGAGTTATTGATTAGTACTTTTCGAACAAATTATTTTATTACGAGGAAAATATTTTGATGATATTTATTTTACATCAAGCAAGGCTTAATACACTCAACAAATATTTAGAAAAAATTTGGAGTCCATATTTTAGTATTTAGCATAAGATCTATGCATATAACTTCAGAAATATAAGTGTCCGAAAACAAATGTGAGCCACTTTATATCTCTGTAGATATCATTTACAGGCCAAGCAAAAACTCTTGCCACTTTCTACATTTTAGATACCTTTTCGATGTTCATAAATAGCCTGCCGTTAAAAGCCAAAATGTTGAAAAAGATATAACATTTATAATTAAGTCAATTGCGTTCAAAAGCGACAAGAAAAGAAACTGCTTTTGACATCCAAAACACAGCTTAATATACACTTAAATGCAAGTTTGTAATACTTTTGGTTTCATATACCGCTCTTGAGAGAATTAAAACATTGCTGGGAATTCGCAATAGATGAATACTAGTAAAAAAGGAAAAGGCGCTTAATGGCCAACAGCTCCCCTCTAACAAATTTTATTAACTCATTTTATGGGCTAGCTTGCTGAAAAATAATCAAAAGCATAATAGCATAAATGTTTCCTGTAATCTTTCCTTGTTACCGTTAAATTTTGCATTATTTATGTAATTTTGTTGTGCAGGTATGGTAAGGTTTAGGTTTCTTTTTTTTCTTTTTCTTTTTTTTTTTTTTTGTTTTGTTTTGTTTTTAAATGCCGTTAAATGCCGCCCATCTATACGCCTCCCCTTTTACGAGAATCTCGACGGTAAAATTTTCCAGACTGAAAATATCCCGAAATAATTTGTCGCACTAACCAAGCTAATGAATTGGTTTTAATTTTTTCGTCAACGATGACGAAATTTTTTAAAGAGAAATTTGCAGTTTGTGGGTTTGGAAGACGGTTTTTTAGCCAACCAATCAGAAAAATTAAATTTTTCCTTTTTGGGCAAAATTGTTGCCCGTTATCCATTTTGTACCTGTAACCGCAGTGTGGAAAAAAATTTTACGTAGCCTAATGTTTATGATTTTTTTTCGTGTTATTTAAGCAATATTTAAAGTTACTAATGGTTGTATTTGGTATGGATTTCGGCGGAAATTCTTCTGCAAGAAATCGATTTAAAGATATTATTATAAATGTTCATCAACAGCAGAAAACGCGGGATTTATCGCTGACTGATCTAAATGCTCTGGTGAGGTTTATATTCGATTTCTTAAATTTTTATTCTTTGTAACTTGGTATGATTTTTTTATGTATTAAATGAAATCGTGTTTTGTTTCTGTATTGTCAGCATTTACTCATTCACGCACACTCACGCACATAGACCAAGTTCACGCACATTAATTTTGAAACATTACACGCTCACGCACATTCTCGTTGTGTACGTTCATTGTGTTAGTCATTTTTGACATTCATATGAAATATCACGCTAAGTGAACATTTGATGTGCGTGAAAAATTAGACATTAAAAATACAGTCTTTTCATCAGTTAAATTAGTTAAAAAATTAAGTTTGTGTGTTTTATAATTGTTTGGGAACTTAATAAATTTATCACGCTGTCATAGGTTTTTTAATTTTTTTTTTTATTTCAAAATATAAATCTCGTGATCGTTAGAATCTTGTTACCAAATTTTTGTTAAACTGGCTTGGAGCATTTATGTAGAATAAGTCAGATGATTCAGAGTATTTATCTAGAATGAGAATTAGAAATTTTTATTTATGTTTTTTTTTTATTATTATTATTTGAAGATTCAAGTAGCAGATTTTCAACAGTAATTATTAAATTTATGTTACAGAACTTAAGTAGCAATGATAGTAATAAAACCTATCAGTATTAAAAGGATTTTAATTATTGAGAACATGGAAAAATTTGTAACATTATTAGACTATAAATTTAATGATGCATTTATTTAAATTTAGAAAACTTGGTGCATTAAAATCAGTTTACCGATATTAAATTTATAATTAAATATAATGAGCACATAATTAAAATTAATAAATATTCATTATTGGGTAGTGATGCTTAAAATAATGTATTCATTTTTCGAAAAATTGCTGTTTTTGTGTGTAAGTGGTAATTGTGCAGTTTTGACAAATGCACTTTTAAGATTGTTCAAGGTCTTAGTGATCTAAGATTGAATGAAAAAGAAGTATTGTACTTTATATTTTCAAGCAAAAATTTTATAGGTAAAGATGAAAAAAAGTTTAATTTATTCTGATAATTATCCTGAACTCTCCTGCTTTTCTTAAAATGAAAAAATTATAATTAGTAATTTTGGTGATGTGTTCAAAATATAAAACAGTTTCTGATAATTTTAGTTGGAATTTTTTACTGTGTTTAGTTTCTTTCCAAAAAATCAAAAATTTTTCATATATTTCTTGAGAAAGTGTGTGAAACTTCTGTTTAAATCACATTTACAAATTCTGGTTTTAATTTGAAAAACAGAAATTATAGTTCATAGATTAAGCAGACTTCATATGTTCATATGTAGCATCATAACATTCAATATAGTATGATGATAAAATTCAATATAGTATGAGGATAACATTTAATACATTATGATCCATCTGATGCATGTAACCATAACAACTCTGAAATTTCGGTGACATAATAGCTCTGATGTCAGTCAGGTTTTGACAGCGTGCTTTGCATAATTAATAGAAAAAAACCTTTCATGTGCATTATTCTTTTATATACTTGTTATCATGAAAAATTAATTTAGATTAGTTTTTTTTAAATTATATCATATACTACAGTTCAATTTACATAATTTTTCTTTTTTATTGCCTTTAATATCTTTATAGCTTTAACTACCTTTTAATACTCATAGTAGTTTCTATACTTAAAATGGAAACATCAAATGTGCATGCATAAAACATATAATAAATAAATAAATAAATAAGTAACATAAAAAAAGTTGGTGGTGGTTTTGAGGTTCGGATTTTAGATCAATCTGGATATTGGATGTTCGGACTTTGTACTGTATATTAATTTATGAATAATTCTATTCTAATCTACACTCACTTCCAAAAGTTAAGCATAGAGAGGAAACTGCTAATTTCCGAAAGCCAATCAGAATTGAGGAGGATGCAATTCGCTGCAGAGGTAGGTGGAAGTATGCAAATATGTTAGGTAACGGCCTAGTCGCGCTTTCATGTCAAGAAATATGCAAAAAGGCAGTCTTATAAGAAGCCAGCTTTATGAAAGGTTACAGAAGTTGATTGTAAGTGCTGATAGAAGGTGTTTAAAACTTTCGTACAATTTGTTTTCAAGACATGCATGTTTCTATGACTTCCAGAAGACGAATGGAAGATTCTGAGTGCTGTGGGGCGCATTGAAGCATGACAATCGATCACAGATGTTACTCTTTTCTTCGGCGTTCATCATTTTGTAATTTAATGTTTATGGAAACAGTTCCAAACCACACAGACAGTTGTTCGAAGGGCCGTAGCCGGTCGCCCAAGGGTTACAACCCCCACAGAAGATCGATATATTGCTATTGTAGCCAAGCGGAATCGCAGAGCAACCTCACACGTGCGACATCTATGGTTACAGCGTCCATTGGTAAGGCAATATCTGCAGCTACTGTACGCCGAAGATTACATATGAGTGGACTGTACACGCCAGGTACCTCGAGTTAGTGTTCCTCTATTTGTCCAATCAAGAGGGGCACAATTACAGTGGTACCGGAAACATGTCAATTGGAATGTGTCTGACTGGGCAATGTCATGTTTACTGATGAAACAAGATTTGCTCTGGAGCCAGATCACAAGTGTATAATGATAGGGCATAAACAACGAACACGCAGTCAGTCCCAAAACATCACGCATCATGGTGCGGCCAGGAATTTCATTAGGATACCGCACCAACCTGCACATCTTTAAACGGAATTCGTTGACGGCTGTCCGGTATCGAGATGAAGTCCTAGAACTCATTGTGAGATTGTACGCTGCAGCAGTGGGCCCTACTTTTGTTTTAATGAACAATAACGCACGTCCCCATAGAGCAAGGATGTCAAACTCGCGGCCCACAACAAATATTTTTGCTGCCCGGCCAATATATCGGCAAATAATAATATATAATAATAAAATAACATATCGACGAAGAAAAAAATTAAATGTTTACTGCTAAGTAATTAACGATAATTTATTCAGTGTTGTTAGATTACTCACAGCGAGCTGACACACACACTACTTAAATTACAAGTGCGTGTGAGTAGCTTGCCTTCAGCTACCTTCGGCTTTTGGGGACACGTGCACACAGAACTTATACGCATCCCCCCGATAGCCGAATGTGGCTGAACTCATGGTCTCAGATTTCCAATCATAGTTTTGTACGATATATTAGTTCATGCATGTGCATGCACTTTGCTTTATTATTAATTATTACTTAATTCATATTGTTACGGATTTCATAGTTATTTATTTAGTTAGTTTTTTACTTCCTTGTACGAAGTAAAAAGGAAGTATTGTAATCGCAAAAAGTTTCAGGCAGCACATTTCAACGAAAATATCCATTTTGACCGCTATTGAATGCAATTTAACGATGTTTTTGCGTCATATCTGTACATAAGGACAGAATAAAATACTCTTTTCCTTCAAAAAAAAAAAAAATTATAAAACAGCTTTAAAATTAATTCTGAAGAGAATTTTTCATGGCGTCTGTACGAACGTATGTACGTACGTATCTCGCATAACTCAAAAACGAGTAGCCTCAGAACGTTGAAATTTTGTATATAGGACTGCTATAACATGTAAATGAGCACCTCTTATTTTGGTTGCAATCGGCGGCACCAAACGATATAAGTATATTTATATATATCCACTCTTACCCGGCTTCAGTGATCTCAGTTTTCTTTACTCTTATATGTTGTAATTGTACATTTTTTGCTTTAAAAATGATGAATTTGTTTGTTTTATCCTCGGGTTAAGGATTTTATGCCTTTAGTAAATCTGTGTGCAATATTTTTAGAATTATCAGCAATTTTAAAGTTGTTTAGTTGCCGCTAAGCCTGTTTTTAATGGCGACCATTGACGTTTACATTTAAAACTTGAGACTAGTGGATTTGTTGCCAATCTAGAAAAACTTAGCTTCGCAACAACCAAGATAACTCATTCATTTATTATTGCCAATGAAATCATGCTTAATTCTTTCTGGAATTTTTTCGAGGATATAAGCGTTTGAGATTTACTTCGTAATTTTTAATATAGATATTTGAGTTTTATGTATTTTGCCTTCTCACGAAGTGAGAACTGAATTAATTAAATGAGGAATACTCAATCGTCTGTGTGAACTTTCTTTCTTTTGTTTTTTGTTGCTTAATTTCTTTTATACATAGTTTCTAGCTTTGTTATAGTATTTGAATAGAACATGTGGCAAACGATTAGATAATTCTTTAAATGATATACATTTTTTTGCATTCTGAGTTATAATATGAACAAAATATAATACTTTAAGTAAACCTAGCGCCAGAGTGTTGCTGTGGTAAACAAAGTGAATTTAAAGAATGCATTTATTCTATTGTGGTTTATGCGCTGTCGCGAAGTAGGTTTAATCAATCTAATAAGTTTAAAAAATGAAGAAAAAATGCGTATAATTTAATATTCCGTACAAGGAAGTCATGTGGTGTACACATCAGATTTTTTTATTTAGAATTGTAATTAGATTTGTTTCATGTGGCCTTAGCAATGCAGACGATTTTTGAAAAGACAGCTGCGTTGGAAGGTTAAAAATAGAACAGCGCGTGCATTTAATACCTAATAAATAAATATCTCGTAATTGCTGTTGCCATCCACAAAAATCTAGATATTTATAGATGTTTCCAGTATATTCGAGAAATTAAGTATAAAGCGTATAAAAGCCGAGAACAAACAGCTCATCTCAGTAGTAGCTGTAGTTCTAGCGAACTGTTTGTTTACTAAATGCTGTGATTGATTGTAGCGATTTCGCTGTGAGATAGAATAGTTTCTCTGTTTTGAATTGATTTTGCTAAAACGTTTGACATTTTGTGATATTGTAGAATATTTTTTGAAGAAAATATTTCAGCATTTTGATTTATCTCTTGTGGAAAGAATAAATTTTTGTTAACTTTTTAACATTAACCATGTTTATTCCAGCCCTTTGTATTCAGTATGTCTAGATCAAACCAAGTGGTAGTAAAATTAAACGAAAAATCGCTGACGAATATAGAA